CAAAAAGATTTAGAAAATATCAAGAAGAGAAGAGCAGTTATCTTAATCATTGAACAGTATATTCACTAAATAATAATTGAATGCACAGATTATTCTCGTATTAAATGACAATTATGATCTTATGAGGGATTGGCACACATTTAATTTGTTTTGATTTTTGATACATTATAATTGGCATTAGTTAGAAAACCGTTAAAAGACTTAAAAGTACAGTATGCATTCACGACCTCATCACTAGAAATCGAAACTAAGTCGTGATATCGACCCATGATGGTAAACTTTAAATTTAATAAACTTAACAGTATCCCAATATTAACATTCATTACGTGACAACCAGCAACTAACTTGAAGTGGCAGTTGCCTCGGTTCTATTAAGAAGCTATGGCCAGTGATTTTCAGTCATGTTGGATGTACAATACAAACATCTTACACGGGAATGTACATTTACGGTTTATTGACCGGGATTATAGGCTCAATGATCTGAAAGTTGAGCGTGATTATGAAACTGCATATTATTGAGTGTTCAATCCCTAGTAGGTTATTGAATGTTTATTGTTGAAGCATTTCAGCTTATGATGAAATAACTGTTCAATGGTTCTCTGTTTCTGATCCTTATTCAATTATTGTGTGTAGATAGTTTAGAAATCATTGTATAGTGTATATACAAGTCACAACAGTAAAAACGAATATTAAACGGTGATGATAATAATAATAATAGTAATAATAATAAAGATGGATAGTGGCTAACAGTGGAATCCAGGAGAAGTGTTTCGTCCCATTTGGAACTCGTCAGCTGAATGTACTTGATCTTTGTATATAATGCTTTTGAATTAAGGCTATATCGAGGCAATATACACAGTATGCACTTATGCCGGTAAGAGACTGATCAATTGCAGTCCTAAATATCAATGGGAAGTTTCAAACAAACAATACCAAGTGAATTTAATAATAATAATCGTTTTTGGATTTTAAAACCAAACAATGATGTAATTTATTTAAATAGTTGAGATCATGAATCAATTGAAGCCAAACCATCATATAAAACGTAAAAGCACTGGACGACCGTTTCGTCCTATTGTGCGACTTCTCAGTGGCAATGCGCATTCACGACGCCACCTCGCAAGATTCAAACCCAGAACCTATCAGTCTCCAGTCTGCACTAATAATAAGGACTAGACACGCATGACATTGGTCACTCAGTGATCAATCAATTGTGATTATATCTCAGTCCTACAGGAGGTTGGTCGCGGCCCGGCTAGCCCAGTGGTAACGTCTCTGACTGTAAAGCTGGGTGACACGGGATTGAATCCGCCAGGGAGCACCAGTTACCTCAAAGATTACAGGTAAACCTTGCTGACGAGTACCAAGTAGCACGAAACCCGGGTCCAGGGTTTCCTGTCGACTACCTCCAATCACCATCTAATCTCACAATATTGCCCGCAGTATCGAGTCACCTAGACTGGTGGCCACATTGCAACATGGTCGATGGCATTCGTTCTGCACTAATAAGGACTGGACGGACATGACATTGACCACCACCCAGTGATCAATCAATTGTGATTAGAGGTGGATGGTGGATTAGCAATGGAATTCAGGACTAATAGACTGATCAATTTCAGTCCTAAATTCCAATGAGAAGATTCAAATAATGAATAACTATAAACCAAAATTTATTACATTTCACAAGCTATTAATGGTTTGGACTAAGTAGCTAAGTGCAATAACACTGTCATTTGAAGCGAATGGTGATGAGGTTGAGTCTCGGAGCGAAAATCATCTCTGGAATGCAAGTAAATCCAGTTGACGAGTCTCAAACTGTATTCTACTACTAGGCACTATCTATCAGTGTTTTAAAATACTTTTGATGTAATGGTAATATTAAGGTAGTCCTTATATAATGAACATATACCGAGTAGACTAATCTATTGCAGAGAGAGAAAAAAAAGAGCAATACATATTTGAACACTGACAGTGAATAGAATAATATGAGATTATATGTTGACGATTTAAAAGAAAAAAATTAGATTATCTCATATGGACTATGTACTATGACTGAATAAGAGGTTTCGATTAAGTGCACGTTAAGTATATCCAAAGTGAGGAGTGAGTTGTATTTGGTTGAGTAGTTGTCGTTTTCGCTACAACTTGAATCACACTTACATATCGTCAAGTTGTCATATAATTTATACATTATTAAATGAAACTATTACGACAAATTCTGGAGTAGTCGATATAAGAAACAGTAACAGTAATGTCAGTAGACATGATGTACAGATGAAAATATGATTTGAGATGTATAAATGAATTCTTAGATAATGAAAAGTGTAAAAAACATTTTTTTTTTAAACTTAAGATTTGAAGCGACGAGGAGTGGAAGTCTACAAATGATAATTAACACCTTCAACTATTGGTCATGATAATTAATTTGACTAGTTAAGTTTTAACTAGTCAACAAAGCTCAAACTAACAATCACTGATTTCATACTTTGAACTGATCACCTCTACTAACATCGTTAGACAATGTAACACAATCGTTAAATTTACACACTACATATCGTAATTATTTCAATTAACAACAATTCATTTTCACATTATCTCATCAATCTGTTTTCTAATTTGTGTTCAACTTCCCTATTTTTCACTCCATAGTCTTAAGATACATAATTAATATATTGAGGGGATCACTGATTAAACACTAATAATATACATACTTTCCTTTAAATCCCCCCAGTAATTATTTCTCTACCGTAATGAGTAAAGATTACTAGAATAATACATTGTATTGTTAAGCATCAGAAAAGTCTATGTTTCTATGCTTTTGAAAAGTGCAAAACACAATTACATTCGGAATAATATTAATAATAATAATAAAATAATAATAGTAATAATATACTTAAGATATCAAGTAATGCATGGAAAGCCTAAATTTCTAGTATTTCACAACCTAGTGTTGGTTCTCATCAGCTGCTTACAGTTTGTGATATTTAAGAACCATAATTACATGATGAGTTTGTATTAATTACATGAAAGGGTTTAGTTGGAAGCTATATTAGAGACACATCAGTACAGAAGTGCAAGGGTGGAAATAAATTGAATAAACTGAATATTGTTAATATATACTTTATTCGAAAGAACATTCTACAACATTGACTGTGACAACAATTCAAACGTCCAGAAACAAGTGGTTACATAATGAGTAGACGGTGATAGGAATGAAACGAGTAAAGCTTAGTTAATAAAATAAGATTACTAGTTTGGAAGATATATGAAATAAAAACTCAATGATGTAATAAACGCAAGAATTCATACTATTCTCCTAGACTCTTTGTTCTTGTTCTTTTCAAACTGATAAAGAGAACTATGTGTATGAAATTCCTATAATGTAAGTTGATTCTTTAAACTAAGTAAATAAATGATCAAGTAAGAATATAATTGATTTGAAATTTATGCATAAGTACTCTACTCAAATGTGTCACAAAGCAAGCCCTCACTAGGAATCCTCAAGGTGAAAGGAGAAGAGGAAGACCAAAAAAACACATTACGCTGAGAAATAGAGACAGACATGAAAAGATTAAACAACAATTAGATAGAACTGGAAAGGAAGGTTCAGGACAGAGTGGGTTGGAGAATGCTGATTAGCGGCTTGTGCTCCAATCGGAAGAACAGGCATAACTAAGTAAGTACTGTAAAAATATTCATGTTTTACTGTGATATAAAACCATCTTTTATTTTTAAGAATTAAGAAGGAAAAACGTATGTAAATCCAACGTTTTGTATTCGGCAATCCGGTTTAAGCTCTTTCAATGGATTATAATCACACATTAAAATGATCGAATATAGAAAGGTACATAGTTTTCTGGTTAACTGTATACTAAATAGGTCATCTAATCAATGTTAACAATATCTAAAGTAGTTATTTGCTTTAGCGTAAATGAAACATGTGATGTAAAACGAAAGGTGTGTATTCGTAAGTGGATCTGAGGTGTTAGAGGGAATTTTATTCGTCATTTATTGCCTCTGATTGGTGAGTTCTTAAGAAAAAATACAAGTTTTTTTGCATATGATATGATTATATTTCCCTAGAAGAGCTTGGATCAAGACTAACGTTAGACTTACTTCAGATTCATTCGCTAAGATTTTTAAAAATGTATTCTTTCTCTTTAATGTCACACATCAACTTAGCGCCCAAATACTGTAAAACTATTCTTTCAAATTTAGGGTTGATGTTCACTCCGAAACTCAAATCTAGCACCGTTCGCTTCAAGCACTATCATGTTATCCATTTATATACTGAGTTCAGATAGCCACTAGCATGTTCAATGATATAAAGTTTTAATTCATTTATGCATTGTTTGTTTGAATATTTCCACTGATGTTTAGGACTGCAATTGATCAGTGTCTCTTATTGGCATATGTGAATCCTGTGCTTATAATGCTTGTGATTTAAAGGAATATCGAGGCGATATATAGAAGGTACACATATGCTAATAAAAGAGACTGATCAATTACAGTTCTAAACAACAGTAGGAAGATTCAAGCAAACATTACAAAATGCATTAAATTTTATAACTATATTTAACTAAACAAACATTATGTATCAGAAATTTGCGTGTTTGAATATCTGGGCTACCTGTTCATGCCATCTGCATATTTCAACAAGTTATCTGTTTTCTACTCTGTTCGACACATCATAATGTCCTTTAGTTGCATAACCTATTCAGAAGCGTTTGTGAAAATTTTATGACATATCGCTGTACAAATTACAAAAGAATCCAATCAGAGACATCGTGGTTGCTGATAATATACATCAAAAAGAATATACATTAATCAGATGTGGATTCCTTAACTGCTAACATCTAACTGGCGACCACTCAGTATTTATCTCAAGGATCAATCAAAAAATAAGAAAAGGAAACTTATTGAAATTCTTTATGCTAAGAATTCTATATTATACCAGAAATATAATATTGGATAAAGCCAGTAATATTAATAATAATTATTTAATCATAGCATAAAACCTTTCCAAAATTTACATCTATGCTACCAACGGGATTAGGAACAAGGGAATCTAAAATTGATTTTTGTTTAACTAAAAAAATAGTTCATGATTACGTAATCTATCGAAGAATTAATCATTAAAACAAAGGAAAACAATTTTATCATTTATATATGAATTATGAATCACTTACTAGATGTAGGATATGTTGTTATCCGTTTAATGTCTTGACTTGATGAATACTGATCAGTGGTTGTCGGTGTTGTCGACGTCGTCGTTGTCGGTGTTGTTGTCATCCTCGGTGTTCCCTGATACAATTGTTCATTATTTATATCTAAACGTGAAATTTTCTTTCTACTAGTGTTTCTATACATTTGTGTAATTAATTTTGGAGTATTTAATAGATGAATATTTTGATTATTATTATTATTATTATTATTATCATTAAAATTCTTAATAGATTGTTCAATATCAATATTATCTTCATCACCATCATTATTATCATCATCATCAACATCATCGTCAACATCATCATCCATATCATCATCTTTAACAATCAGATCATCATTTTCATAAGTACTATTATTATTATTATTATTATTATTATTATTATTATTATTATTATTATTATTATTATCTATATTATTGATCATAGAGGATGGATCATTAATATGATCCTCAGTGTATCTAATTCGTTTATCCTTTTTATTATGATGATGATGTTGATTATTTATATTTTGATTAGATTGATATTGTTGTAATTTTAATTTATGATAATTATTTCTTTGATTCATTTCTGATAATATAGAATAAGGATTTAATGTTTTAGTTAATTTTGTTGATGGTTGTAATGTTGACATGGTTATTGATGTTGTTGTAGTTGTAGTATTAGAACATTCAGTTATATGAAAATTATGCTTTTCATTAATATGTATTAAATTGGATAAATTAGAAAATCCTCCAACTTGCATAATAGTATCCATATTGAATATAATTCAATTTATATAGTTCTAGTTATTTATTAATATTCTAATTGAATAGGTCAATTACATAAGTTGATTTTATAATAACTGAATGTAATATATGTTTAGGTAATCACATAACAATTTAAACATCTGAAAAAACCTGATCAACTTTTTATCTTCTCTCTCCTCTCTCTCTCACACACACCTTTCTCTCTCTCTCTCTCTTGTTTGCTCTCTTTCTCTTACTATCAATCTGTTTATTAATAAACCAATCTATAAATTGTCTAAATAGTTTTATTACGATTACACCCCTGGAATAGCAACAACAACACCAAAAAAATATTTAACAGAAAAATTTTTTTTCTCTAATCTGATTGGTAGAAAGTGATTAGAATGCGTTAGCATTTTGATTGGTTCTTAATGAATTTATCATTCGCATTCGTCAACATTACAGTAACCAATCAGAATTTTGTAAAGTCGTTTCTTTCTCTCTCTCTCTCTCTTTCTTTTTTTGTATTAAAAAATAGAGAATGTTTTTTTTTATTTGAGAAATAATTGGCTTTACAAATTAATTTCTATGAGTAGATTGGTTATTTAAACAAAGAGTATCGAATATGATTTTTGTATTTGTATGTATGTTGAAGTCCCTGTAACTCTCTGAGTATTTTTTAAAAAAAAGTTATATTATAAATGTGGGAATGATTTGATTTCTATTATAAAATGATTCCCCCCTTCCGTCTCTAGATATTATTATTTCAATTACTTGAAAATTAATTTAACTAAAAAAGTAATTTTAATAGTTGAGATCATGAGTCAATTGAAGCTAGATGATCATTGAATACTTGGAAGCAATGGACGATCGTTTCATCCTAGTATGGGACAACCCAGCAGTGTGCATTCATGAACCTGTATGCGGGGCTAAAACCCAGAACATTCAGTTTCCCACGATAACGTTTAATTTATAGACCCCTTAGCCTATATACAACCATTTTAATGTCTAAATTCAATTGATCCATGAATGACTGAGAAACTATTCATCTATTGTTTGAGTTAGATACTTGTCTCTACCCGATATGGATTGGACTCCATTGGTAACGGCTTCTCACTAAAACTCCAGGACATCATCTTAGAGCCAGTCACTAGTGAACGTATGATGATAATGATGATGATCGGAATAGTGTTTATAGATATTGTAGAAATTTTATTATTACTACAATGTCCACAAACCCTATTCTGGTCATAAAAAGTAATTATAGAATGTTGTAGGTATTGTTAATATTTCATGTTTCAAGTAGCGAGGTCTAAATGTTTTGTATCCTATTCTTGGTGAAGTCACGAATGATCATTACTAATCACAAGTTCCATATTAGGAAAAAAACTGTTGTCCACTACGTTACAATGTACATCCGCCGTCCGTTATGTATTGCTTTGGATATGTTTATGAATTTTTGAAATTAAGTTTATCTATTTCTGTAAAATAATAACATCCATTTAATCAGAAAGAATAAGAATAAATCTACCTTCAATTTTCGTGTAATTAGTGTAATGTATGGTACAAATCCTTGATATATATAAGAGTCGACATTTTTGGCGAGAGTTAATGGTTGAAATATAAACTAGTTATATATCGATCCTTTTCGCGAAAATGTGTCATTCAATTTTGGTTAACTGGCCGAATTGTTTAACACTCCTAGTGACATTGGAATGTCTTAGATTTTATGTTATTTATAGTATCTGGAAACTGTTCAGTGAACAATGATATATCCTTATAGACCTTTGATACTGCTCGAAATCTATTGATCACGTGCACAATGATTCTGTATTAAATGGTCAGACATAGTTATTTGGGGATACAAGAATTTTTTCATGACAAGTTAATACCCGTCAGCAAAGTGAATTCTAATAAACATTATAGAATCTCTATGAGAAGCACCATTTCTTTAAAGAATAGAAACGTACCTCGTCTCATTTAAAACAAAACGAATATACAGAATTTTTTGTTAATGAACTTCAACCCCTCAAACTTTGTGATTTATAAGGATATACAGATGAAGACTGTTTTTTGAAGTGATAAAAACTATTAAATAAGGAAAATTACGTAACAATAAGGAGGAAACACATTCAAGGAATTTATCAAGACGAATAATAATATTAAAATTGTAAGAAAATGGAATTTCATTGTGAAAAATTATTTAACAAATATCAGTTTTATTCACTAATTAATAATCATAATGGCTGTTATCATGAAGCGGGATTGTGGATACACACTGCTGAGGAGTCTCACAATAGGACGAACCTGTTGTTCAGTGCTTCTAGGTTTTACATGGTGGTCTAACTTCATCTGAAATGGATAAATTTGATATTGTCATATAACATATATACACAGTCAGAACCACTGAATCAATTCATATTTATATATGGTTTCAGTAACTCAGTGAATTATATGTTAACGTTTAAAAGGTAAAATATTTGATAAGAGTTTTACTGTAATAGATATCAACAGCAAGATGTACAAAATATGCAATTAACGAGTTCCAGATGGGATAAAACATGATGAGACCAAGTTTCTATGGTTAATCATTACACAACTTCAGAAAAATTATTCATTTAAACATTACATAAGAATACTGATGAAAATACAATTTCTAATTTATATATGACTAAGGATAATATACATAAAGTGAAAGCCAATAGGCAACAATTCATTAACCTTAGACAACATTGATTCTAATTAGTAAGGACCCAGGATATAGGTTTTTTTCTTATTTGGAGTTCGTCATCTCGTCATTTCGTGAGATTTCCTTAACATAAGGCATTATCTTGATAATTATAATGAATTAAACAAACAACTGGTACGTCAACGTTGTGATTCAAGCTAAATACTGATAATTACTATTGATATGTGTGTTCACTATGACTGCAGAATAACTTCGACCTTCTACTTATTCCATTGGAATGACTCTCTTTTGTCAAGTCTAATGGGAAAAAGACTGGTTTTTTGCCGATCATTCATTAACACGACATCCCAAATGATAATAATACTAGGTCATCTCAAACTTTGGTCTATGAATAAATTTGAATATGGTGAACTAGCATTTAAGCAATATCATTGAAATAATGCACCGATCTAAGTTAGGCAACCTTTGAAAACCTGGATGCACTGGGCATCCAATTTATCGTAGTGTGGGACTCCTCGAAAGTAGATATTAAGACCCTGAAAACAAAACTTGAACCTAGAACCTTCAGTCTCTCACAAGAACGCCTAATTCATAGGCCACTATGTCAACACCCATTAATATTTAACTTTAATCGATTCGCAATATTTCGCGGCCATCTTCCATTGTTTATGTTTTTTAGAAAGGTCGTTTTCTATGGGAACAATCAGTTGAATTGAACTCGTCACTTGACATCAAGTTCCTCGACTATGAGTAAGCGTTTGACAACATAGATAGGAGAACCTTATGTGACCTTCTTCGACAATATTCTAACTTAATATTTAGACCATAAAATTAAGTGTAAGTAAGTTCTAGATTTTGTGTGTACAATCCGATAATCAATTTCAATTTTTACAACATCATATAACTTTCAATAAATAGATGACATAACAATGAAATGTTCATTGAGTTTTATTCTGGAAAAAAATTACCATTTTAAGGTTGATCTTACTTACTGTCTTCTCATGGAGGGGGTGTTGATTACGAAATTGAGAGAACAAAAAGCAAATTTCTGGCGATTTAATCGGGTTGGTAGGCATAGAGAGTTCATCTAGGGGAATTGGAAAACCTGATTTCAAACTAATGGTGTACATGGGCTCCAGTATCCTGAAGGAACAAATAGCGTATTAACCAATCGTTGGTCAACGGCTACCATGGGAGTGCATCTCCTTACGTTGCTCTACTACCTTGTGGATTAGACCTTTAGGTCAAAGACTCAGGGTGTGACCCTCTAATAAAACCACCTGCTTCGGTTTGGGCGCCCGGGTGGTATCCAAAACCTCACACAAATTGAATGATTTGTGTGGCGCATATCTATTTGGTCCTTCTTGTACTTATGTTTACATGTTTAAATGAAATAAATAAAATATGATCTTGAAGCTTAAACAAAATATGCATTGAAATGATGAGTTATTTCTTGTGTGTAAATGATATCTTTACTGTATGTTACAGTAAACAGGTTATAACATCTGTTAGAACATCTTAATAATAATAATATTCATTATTTTCAATGAATATTACCAACCACCCAAATATCGCTGATTTTTCTCTTTTGTAAGTTGTACAACGAAAGGTCGTCAATGTTTCATAAACCCTCCTAAATAGGCTATGCGGGCTAGGATCGTGTATATGCACTGTTTAGAATTCCCGCACTGGGACGAACACAGCCATCTAGTGCTTCGAGGTTTTTCATGGTAGTCTACCTTCAATTGATTCATGAACTCAACTATTAAATTATAATAATATCCACAAAACCCCTTTCTGATAAAAGACAAGTAACTTGTTGAAATATTTCGGTGGCAGGATGAGGTAGCCTAGATGTTCATTCAAGCAGGCCTCCTTAAACATAACAACAGATCTAGTTTATAATAGAATTTGAAATGATGTGTAAATTTCAGTTTTGCTATTATATTTCTGAACAAAATTGTTGTATGGGTTAATATTTATGATCAAATTATATTACATTATGTTTTTTCTAGTTTACATACCCATTTGATCTTAATTTGATAATTAATAAACATTAAAAAAGGATTGGGTAGTTATTTCGTTCCAGAGTGAAACAAATATTAATCTTGAGTATATTAAGACGTGATTCATGGATTAGAATGTAAATATCTGATGAGTGAGATAAATATCACCAAAAACAAGAGATCATGATTATGTAATATCATGAATTGATTTAAGCCTAAATTACTATATCAATAGTTTCAAAATTAATACCACAATGTGAATATGACTAAATTCCTGGTTTCGATCCCTAATAGGATTATTGACATATACTGCTATTAAAGT